AATGTGCTCCCTTCTCTATTTCACTAGTAGTGCCATTTTGTACTTGCTTGCCTCTTATAGCCTGGCTACTTTTAAATTTATGCTTTTCAAAACTGCCAGTATTTTCTATGTCTTAGAGACTACCCTAAAATGTTCCTTCTACGGTATTACTCATCAATATCCTGTCACAGTCTGTTGGTAACAAACCTTAATCCATGTGGAATCACATGGTTCTGAATTATGTGGAAGGCCAAGCCCAAAGACTTAAATGATTGATATTCTTTGAATTTATCAAATGGTTACAAAGCTAAAATTATCTATGGTTTCAAAGAATTATTTTGTTTTTGACAGACATGCAACAGTAACAGTGTCTAGAAAAATAATGGAATTATATTCTTGTTAGGAGCTCAAGCAGCTTCAAATGCAATTCGGTTACTTAGGTCCTCTTTTTGGTACTGGACATTGAACTCGGGTCCTTGCACTTGGCAAAACAGGCAGTGAAACCACTGAGCTAAATCCCTGACCCTCTTAGGTCCTTTTGATGGAATGCTTTAATAAATAATAATGTCCCCAAAGAGTTGTGCAGCAACTGGGAGCTATAATGACCTCTGCTAATGAGTCTGGCATGCTTAAAACATTAAGCTTTTTAAAAAAGCTCCAAACCAAACAGAATCTGCTATCCAAATCTGCTTTAGAAAAGAAATTTGAGCAATTCCTTTCATGTATTTCTACAAGGCAAATTATATTAAGCTGAGGTTATTTAAGTTAAAATCTTTATTTCTGAGTATGATTAGAAGGCAATTATAATTATTGAAAAATATAAACAAATGTTAATACCTTAATACAGCATTAAAAAAAAAAAAAAAGAAAAAGAAAAAGAAAAAAGCAGTGAAAACCTGAGTAAAAAGAAGCCAGGAAGCAGCTGAAAAAGAGACCGGTTCACTGTGAGAAATGTAAACCTCTCAGACAGTGCTACGGCCCCGAATCCAACAGCTCAGGAGTGAGGCCAATTATTGCAAAATACTAAACATGTGTGGTGAAGCTGCAAACTTTGCAAGAGTTACAGAATGAAAGCAGCTACCTATAAAAGTCAGGGTTTCATAAACTGAAATCTGATGTGATTACTACCTATAGGAAAAATTAGAGTATACAAAACTATATGTAATATACTTCACAATACTTAAGCTGTGCATTTTACAATAAAGTTAATAAATCTTTATTATTGCAACTGGCAAGTAAATTATTTTAAATAGTTGCTTGCATTACTTAAGTTACTGGCTGTAAATTGCTAATCTATTATAAACCAATTCTCAAATATTCACCTTTCTAAACCAGGAATGATTTACAGGAGGCAGACTCAGAATTTTAGAATATACAGAAGTGCCACAGACAATATAATAAAACTCTCTTTTAAGTGAGTAAACTGAAATTGAGTGGCCTTAAGTGATATGACTAATACTAGCTAAAAACAAAACCAAAACACTTCCTAAGCAATGTCATGATTCTGATTCGTACTTGGTATTCTTTCTTCGTATACAACGTACTATATAAAAAGCTTTTATGTAGGAAAAATTTCTTCTGTTTCTGACAATAGGGGTTGACTCAATCTTATTTTAAATGACTATGGACAGCAGATTTGCATTTATAACAAAAGTGATACATTCATTTCTCAGCAGTAATGTTAATACTATGTACTTCAGTTTCATAAGAGATAAGAGGTTTATTGTGAACGAGACCAATAAAACTGTAGTCTGCTGGCATGCAGATGGATACAGGACCAACGTGTTTTTCTTAAAAAATGTTTCCAACCTCTTCTCTATCTTCAAAAGCACAAACAAAAAAAATCTTGATTTCTTCCTATTGCCCACACCCTCCTAGTCTAAGAATAGCTGGACTTATTGGGTTTGTTAACTTAGGGCAAAATTTCTTTAATTCTTATATGACCATTTAAATACTATTTGTGCCACTGTGAAGAAAATTTGTTCCAAATCTGCTTTAATTATTAGGTCAAGTAATAAACTTCATTCTTTTAAACTATTAAAGAAAATAAAATACTTCTTGACACTTTGCAGGGTACACAAAAGTGGTTTGGCAAAAAAAAAAAAAAAGTAAGGGATGTAACAGACTTCTCATTTTAATCAGAGTAAGATGGTAGGATAAAGGGCAATATAAGAAAAAAAATTCCAAAAGGAAACAGAAAGTATTTTGCTTACATATGAAAAAGTAAATCACTGGGACAGAAATTTGTGTTAAATCTGTTACCCGCCCCAAAATCAGAAAGAGAAATCTGTCTTATTTCCCTGGGCATTTTCCTTTTCTTTGAAGACACCAAAAAATGTAAATGCATACTCTGCAGCTTTGATATAAAAAATACCCATTAGCTAAGTATAAAAAAATCTTTAGATTATAATTTAAACAAAAAGAGTTCATGAAGCTGGGTATGGTGGTGCACACCTGTAATCCCAGCACTCGTAAGGCTGAGGCATGAGGGTCACTATGAGTCTGAGATAGCCTGGGCTATATAGTGAGTTTCAGGTCAGTCTCATCTACATAGTGAGACCCTGTCTCAAAACAACGACGACGACGAGGACGACGACGAGGACGACGAGGACAACGAGTTCATGAGCAAGGCATAGTGGTGCATGTCTGTAATCCCAGCACTCAGGAGGCTGAGGCAGGAGGGTTGAAGAGAGTTCAAGGGCAGCATGGGCTAACTAGCGAGTGCAGGGTTAAACTGAACTACAAAGGGAGACCCTGCCAAAAAAAAAAAAAAAGATAGAGAGCACATGCCTGTAATCCCAGCACTTGGGAAGCTGAGACAGGAGGATCGCTGTGAGTTCAAGACCAGCCTGGGCTACATAGTGAGTTCCAGGTCAGTGTCAACTACATAGTGAGACCCTGTCTCAAAAAAACAAAAAACAAAAAAACAAAAAAGGAAATCCATTTCACTTACTAATATAAAAAATTGTTTCTTCCAGATGAGAATGCTTTGAGGATTTAATTCTCTTTTATTCTTCACACTGAATGAGATACAACTCATTTAAATTGTAACTTAAAGAAGATACTGAGGAAAAAAGGATATGAGTAAAATAACTGAAAGGACAAACTGTAGTTATAAAGTGTAACAGTTTTTTTTGGAAGGGATGGACCTCTTGAATGCTGGGATTACAAGTCAGGGCCTCCATGCCTGGCATATAATTGACTCATCAGAGTTAAACATAATGTCAAGAAATTTTCAAAGACACGACTCTCTTTTGTGTCTGTATTATTCAGATGTAATCCGGCTTACTGTTTTTTTCCTTGTCTTCATAACTAACATGAGACAAAATGTCACAATTAAAAGTATCACCAATTTAGCTCAGTGGTTCCACATCGGCCTCGAAAGTGCAAGAACCCAAGTTCAATGCCCAGTAACAAACAAACAAACAAAAAAAATCACTGACGATAAATGCATATTACATTTCATTCAGATATTTTGGCTCTGGGGAAGGCATCTTTAATTGTTTTCCATTTAGTGGGTTTTTTTGTACATCAGTTCTTACTAGAGATTAAGTTTTTATTTTGGAGGCTCTCTGATCATTGAAAGAAATACAGATTTGTCATGGAAAAGAATAAACTAAAAAGCTCACATAAATACAAGATAAAAGATTATAAGGTATAAAAATGAAATAGTCAGACAAAAGGTATTTAAATGAGTGGCAAGAAGATAAGTTTTTTATTTTGGCACCATGGATTGAACTCAGGACCTTACACTTGTGAGGCAGGCAGTAGCACCAATGAGCTAGATCCCAGGTCTGATAAATTTCTTTTTTTAATGATCATGTATGCTATCAAATATAACCTGTTATAATTTTGGAAGAAAAAAATTAAGACACAAAATATGAAAAGTTAATATTTGTAGCACAGGAAAACTTTAAAACTGTTTGTTAGAATAAAACAAACATATACAAAGCTAAAGTTCCCATGTATAAAGAACAACTTTTGGGCTGGGGATTTAACGCAGTGGTTCTGCCACCTGCCTTGCAAAAGCAAGGACCTAACTTTGATCCACGGTACAAAAACAAACAAAAAACAAAACAAAAAGAACAAGTTTTGATAGCTTTTAAAATCTGAATATACACTATATTATTTGACATGGGCTGCATTTATTAAACTTCAGGTAAACCTCAAAGGAGTCAGGTTGAGACTAAAAATAAATTCTAACTTGGTTATAATAGCCTGTATTTGTGTTCAACATCTCTAGAATGTACACTTCTTACATGTATAAAGTTGAGCTAATAACACACAAGGGGAGAACTGGATACAAAGCACAAAGACAACTTGCAGAAGTTACTTGAAGTGAAGGTAACCCTTAAAAGTTACACCTATTACAAAAGCAAACTGCTTTGTGGAGGTGGAGGTGAAGATGTCTCCATGGGTGTAAGAGTCTCCAAAAGTGACAAGCAGCTAAAAATATACTGAAACAACCAACAGTAAAAATTTTCTGTAACTTTAGAGTTATGAAAGCCTGGATGAAAAGCTAATTAAACAATGGCGCTGTAAGTACACATGTAGATAGAAAGCACAGAGAAATGAGATCATTAAAATTAGTAAGACAGTTTTTTACATAGAGATCACTGTTTTCACTCGTTTGACAAAAATTTGCAAAGAAGCAAAACAAAAAGAATGCTGAATTTTTGTTTTTTTTTCCCTCTCTTTCTGCTATTAGCATAGGTGGAATACCGCTGCAAACAGGGTTTCCACTACCATGGCAGTGAGGACTGTGTCCTTGTACACAGACTGTGCAGCTGCTCACCACACTCCCAGAATCTCCCATTGTGGTTCCTACCCCTTCAGCACACAGAGGGTGGTGTTTTCTGGAGAATATTAAGATTTGTCAACTCTTTGAATGTGACTGATTTGCATACTCATATGTGCATATATTTAATATTCTTGAGTAGTGTCTTAATGTTCAGAATGAAACAAAGATGAAAAACCAGTAACCAGAGTTAAGAAATCATGACATCAGAAATGCAACTCACCTGTTTGCTGAGCAGGCTGTGGCAGTGGTTGGTTTAGATGTGAACTGTAATGGACAGAAGGGATAGGGCGGTACTGAGGCTGACTGGAGTGATAGTGGCCTGGAGCACAGTAACAGGCTGATATCTATAAGCATAAGCATTGAAAAAAATCAATTTTACTTGCAAAAGACATTTCTTTCTGTAAAGAACATTAGAGTATAAAGAGTAATAATTCTTTCTAACACCAACCATTTGAAAATTTACTATTTTAAAAGTTAATTCAAAAATACAGTTGCCTTAAAGATAATGTGTCCACCAATCTTATCTGGATTTTAGTTTTTGTGCCATACTTATTTCAGATTTCTCTCTTTCACAAAACCAAAACCAATATTAATGAAATACCCACAAGCTAACTTCAATTCCTTTGTCCTACCTTTCACAGACACCATTACCTAGTGGTTGGTGAGTATCATTCCTGTATTTTAAAACTTCTGTTATCCATATGTATCTTCTATCCATACATGTATTATTGAGTATTTAAGGATATACCCTTATGGTGCTCTATTTAATTTCATGAATTATGTAGCTTATTTTGAAATGTATAATCTCAAAATATAATTTATATATTTTATAATAATGTATACTATCACATACTTTATTTTGCAATTCACATTTTGCAGTTCACATTGTTTTATAATTCACACTGTTTTTTTTTTTTTTTTTTTTTTGGTACAGGGATTGAAATCAGGACCTTGTGCTTGTGAGGCAGGTGGCAGAACCACTGAGCTAAATCCCCACAAATTACAGTTTTTGAGACTTGCTAGATCATTTGAGTTAACTGCTTAAACATCATTCATTATATAAAAAAATCCAGTTCATGCATTCACATACTAACATACTGTAGTACTGCTTCCATTTTTCTTTTTCCTTACATATAATTCTAATGTAAATTATAATAGTGGAAAGAATAGCTTGGCTTATTTTTCCTTCTGGAGATATCCATGTCAGTTGTGTTATTTCTTTTAAAGTAATCTGATACAGATTATGATAGAGAATAAATAATTTAGTGATATAAAATATGTGGTAAATTAAATTTAGAGTTTTATAGGATCCTTCAGGCTATATTCTTTTGATTGGATTGCTTTCTAAAAAGAACAGAAATCTGTGGAAACCTTAGTGTGCTGCTCATCTCATCAGAAAACCAGTCAGGTACAACATTCCCAGATCAGTCAGAAGCTGAGAACCTCCCAACTTTCTGGTAGTTTTCCTCTCTGAGAAACATTACAATAGGCATACTTATGGGATCTCTTAATTTTTCTTGAAGGTATTAGCAAGTGACTGATAAATCATAAATTCAGATCTTATTCGTAAGGATGCTCTTCACTCTTTTTTTTTTTTTTTTGGTGGTACCAGAGACTGAACTCAGAACCTTGTGCTTGTGAGGCAGGCGCAGTACCACTGAGCTAAATCCCCAGCCCAGGATGCTCTTCATTCTTTCTTATTAAGAAACAAACCAAAAAAACCAATACAAAATTCAAAGGGATTCAGATAAAAAGACAATGTGAAATAAAATGAAGGACTGGGGATTTAGCTCAGTTGTTCCGCCACCTGCCTCGCAAGTACAAGGGCCCGAGTTCAATCTCCCATACCAAAAAAACAAACAAACAAAAACCCCCCCAAAACCCACAAAAACCAACCCCCCCAAACAACAAAAAAATCCAAAACAAAACAAGAAATAAAATGAAACACTAAAAAAACTTCATATACAAATGTCAGGACAGGAAGCATATAGAAATATATATAGATAAAAAGACAAATCGCCTTTAACATCATGTAAAACAGGATTCAAGCCAAGATATATTATACACATTTTATAATGATACAAGTCAATGTGTCAGAAAGACATAAACATGTAAACTGCCTAATATAGGTTCAAATACGATAAAAAACTGGCAGAACTTAATGGAAAAAACAAACCCAAAAACAAAAAATGAAAGAAGTCAATGACAACATACGTGCATGTAAAAACACCCCACGTTCATTAAGATTGGAAGACTTATTATAAAGATGGCAATATCGGGCCAGGGATTTAGCTCAGCGGTTTGGTGGTCTGCCTTGCAAGTGCAAGGACCTGAGTTCGATCCCCGGTACCACAAAACACACACACACACACACACACACACACACACACACACACACACGATACCAATTTTCAAGTGTCTTTTTCAGAATTGGAAGACTGTTTTTAAACACAAAATGAAATTACAGGAATCCTGAAAAGCAAAAGTAATATTGAAGAGGAACAAAACTTAGGAGATATACTTCCTATTTTAAAAATTTAACTATAAAGGCTGGGGATTTAACTCATTGGTTCTGCTGCCTGCCTCACAAGGTCCTGAGTTTGGTCCCCAGTGCCAAAAAAAAAAAAAAACAAACAAACCAAAAACCCCCCAAAACCTTAACTATAAAGCCACTATAATCAGAACAAATGTACTATTGGTTTAAGGACAGAAATACTACAGAATAATGAAGTGAGAGTCAAGACAGAAATAGAAAACAAAGAAACTCTTAAATTTATGGTTTACTGATATTTAACAGTCCCAAAGCTATTAACAGGGAAAGCAAGGTGCCTTTAACAAATGATGCTAAAATAATTAACTATATACTTAAAAAAAAATGAATCTGGACCCTTACCACATACAGTGGACCCTTGAGTTACGACCAGCCTGACTCATTAATAATTTGGGGTTGTGACTGGAATTTTAGTTTTAACTTTCAAATAAAGTCCTGAGTTATGAATCCAATGCTGGCTACTTGTGGTTCCAGATGGTCTCAGATAAAGATTTAACCCTCAAAGAGTTCTGTATTTATTATGTTTTCCTTAGGCCAATTAAAAAGCAAAACAAAACAAAACTCCACACATTTTAAGAGTCAGAAAAAAACTCAAAGTTCACATAGTAAACTAACTAACTGAAATGTTTACTTATACTATGGCTGTTCAAAATGTACCTGAAAAGTCTCCAGAGGGAAAGATATCAACATATTTTATTTATACACTCACAAATTCTCACCATGAGAATGTTAAAATTAAGGTCAAGAAATTGATCTTAAATGAGAGGATGCCATGAGAGAAAAGATGAAAAAGCAACATACCTGTGATGAGGGCTGCTGAATATATCCCTGCTGCTGGAGCACAGGCTGGCTGACAGCATGGCCAGAGGCAGAATAGCCAGCAGTAGGGACTGGCTGCCCAGGTGGGAGGGAAGGAGGAGGTGGAGGTGGCAGAGGTGGAGGTGGAGGAGGAGGTGGTGGTGCGGGTGCTGTTGTCATGATATAACCAGATTGCTGTGGCGACTGAAGAACAACAGTAGACTGGAACATGGTAGCATGTGGGTCAGAACCATCAGATGGCTGGCGGGCAAGACTCATGTGGCTGAACTGAGAACCAAGGTTATCCTGCTAAAAAATAATTGGCAATCAGTATGCCTTGCATACATGGGCTCAACTTATTGGTGAAAAGTATCTTATTTTAAATTCAGTCACAATGGTAAATATTAACAGATGTTATATGCCATCTATAAGAAATATGACTTAAAATATCAGCTTCAAGAAAATGAGAAGACTAAGCAGGAATATTTAGAATGCTAACATTATAAAGTATAAAATATAGCTAACAGAAATGATAGCATGCAGAGAAGAGTAGGGCACAACATTTCAGATTTAAAAATGAAAAAAGGAGGGAGGGGGCTAGAGGGGAGAGGAAGGAGGAGATAAAAGAATTAAGATGTTTATGTAAATGTACCATCTCCTCATGATGAATATAATCATGTACTGAAAACATTTATTAAAATAAAAATTTAATATTTTTTTCTTTTTCTAGTACCAGGGATTGAAACCAGGACCCTGCGCTTGCAAAGCAGGCAGCAACACCACTGAGCCAAATCCCCAGCCCTAAAAAGGCATTTAATGAAAGTTAAATGCATACTGGGATGCAAGAATAAAATTGGACATTTTTGTATTATGTAATTAATATTTTCTGAAAAACCTTTAAAGGTTATATAATGATAAATTGATAAATACTCTTTATCTCCCTTCTTCCTATGAGGCAGGACTCAGGTTTGCTCATTTGTGTATCCCCCAATAATTAACATGCAACCATCTGGTCTCTTTTTCTAATTTCTCAAAAAATAATTTGGCTATAAATTCTATTTCCCTAGTGTTTCTCGGTCTATTACTTAATTTAGATAAGTATAATTCAAACAATAATTTTCTACTGCTTTAATCCTTGGTGACCAGTGGCACTCAGCCAAGGCAGAGGTTATGATTTATGTGACATCTGACAAATGTTTTCTGACTCAACAGCCTAATGACCAGCTCTTATTGGTGTAGAAAATTTCCACTAACATGACAGTATGAGGTTGAAGTGGAATTTCCCAGTTTCCAGGTTAGCCTCAGATTGATAATATGCACCACATTTAGTCACAAAGTCAATCCTAAAAAAACTGACTTACAAAAATGTTGGTGAGCTGCCAAAATAAAGTTGACATGTCTCATTTGTAGTCTGCTAATTTTTTTAACAAGTAAATAAGGGTATGAAGAAAATAATTAAAAAAAGGGAACCTTATTTTAATGATTTATTCTTCCCAAATGGTCATTTTGACATAAATAATTATTTGCTTAATTTAGTGAATAATTTTTGAAGAGAAAAACATTAATCTACTAGCTATAATAACTAAGTACTATGTCAAAACATTTTTAAAACAGATCATAACTATACATCACTGAGGGTCACTTTGAGAAAAAGTCATTTTTTTTATTTCAATGAAAATTTCCAAAATATTTCTGAATTTTTTTTTAAACTTCTCAATACTGGCAGGAATGATTGACTCAGTTCAAAAAACAAAAAAACCCTTAAAAAATGAGACATTTTCAAAAAGAGTTCAGAATGATTTTCATTGAGTTTGTAATCTGACTTGGAATGCAATTTCAAAATACCATGGTCACAGCCAGGCGTGGTGGCGGATGCCTATAATCCCAGCACTTGGAAGGTTGAGGCAGGAGGGTCACTGAATACGAGACCAGCCTGGGCTACACAGTGAGTTCCAGGTCAGTCTGAACTACACAGTGAGACCCTGTCTCAAAAAAACAAAACAAAACAAAAAACAATAAAAAACAAAACAAAACACCATGCTCATATAGTCAGAAAAACAACTGTATCGTTGGGGAATAGTATATAGGTTGAAAAGTATTAGTATCACTGGCAAAAGTATATGGGCTGTTAGGAATTCCATTTTAAGGGAAGAAAATTAATGTTTACTTAGTGTCTAGATCATGCTAGGCACTATGAGCAAGATACTTTACACTGTTGTTTCAGGATCATACAGCTAACATACGGTGGTGTGAGTGTGAAATCTTCCTGACAGATACACTTCTGGGCATTCTTTATTTTAAAGGAGGCACCAATACACTATAGTTAGAAATCAGATATCTAAGACATCTTTGGAAATACTTAGTGGAAGACTTCTGTAGCTGTAAACCACAACTTATCCAAATAAGTGCTGAATCTACTGGACCCACAGGACTGGGGAGAGAACAAAGGTATTCCTTCCTCTTTTTTGTATGTGGGTTCAAACTCAGGATCTTGTGCTTGCCAAGCAGGTGAGGCACCAATGAGCTACATATATCCTTGTCTCTGAGAATAAAAGTCTTGAACCCAGATGAAAGTTGCCATCCCAAGATTACACACGATCCTACACTGACATTAATGAGAAAAGCAGGTACAACACGCTAGAATCGTCAACATGAAAATTACTTTGTTATGAAGGAGGAAAGATTCAGGTTGAAATAATCATTAAAATAAGCCAACAATCACTATTTTAGGAAAGAAAATTAATTACTAATATGAATTAGAAAACACCTTTTCCAGTACATGTGTCCCCGACTTTTAAGAAATATCATGAAAGATAATATTACTTTGATTACATTCTTTAGCATTCATCACACAAACATCCACAAAAACAACACAGAAGGTGAATACAGATATATATAGTACCACAGAATATTGCTGGGTGGGTGAAACTGGCAGAAGCGGGGATGGGTAAGGGGCTGTAGAGCACTGAACAGGCTGAGAAGAGGACTGCAGAGGACGAACAGGCTAAAGAATAACAGGTTGGCAAACAACGTTAGTGTCAGAATAAATATAGAACAATTGAGTAAAATGGAAATTTATACTTTTTAGGCAATAATTTTAACAACAATTATAAAGTCACTTAAAATACAATAGCTCAAACAACAAAAACAAGAACAGATGAACAAACTACAAAGTAAAATTTCTGAGAACACAGGTATGCCTAAATTGATTTCAATTAAAAGCTAACTTTTTTTTCCAACAAAAGACTATTACAGATTAATGAATTCAGGTAATTTTGTTATTTCAAATCCTATTATTTAACCAAGACCCCTGGGTTAAACCAGCAAAGGCAAAATTGATTATCTTTGTTTTCTAGATTTTTATAAAGGGGATGCCCAATGTAACTATGTAACATGAAACCTTAAATGAAAAACTTCATTCTTAATATTCCACAATATTAACTTACACACCTATACCAATTATTCTATTTGATAAACCCCAATTAAATATTCTCTTAGGATTCAAGTTCCTAAATTTTATCAATTTTAAAGAAAAATGTACTTTTAAGTACTGCTAAGAATAAACCTCAGGAACAACACATATAGCCATATATCCAAACACACCTCTTTTACATAATAAAGGCAAACTTTCTTTGTACCCAAACACATTTTCATAAAAAGAATATGCGTTAAGAGTTGAGAAACTAGTTACTAGCCACCAGTGAAATACTTTTGTTTTTTAGAACAAAGTTTTTAAGTTTCCTGAGGGAAATCAAAAACAAATAGTATAAACAATTTAAAAAAGTAAATTTCTAAATTTTATGAATACAGCAGGCCATTCATAAATTTCATAGTGGTATCTCATTTAATCTCTTAATCTTATATTTATGTACAGTGCTACATCAGTTCACGAATTTAATTTGTTCTAGGATTTTGGAAAAGATGGCCACATTTCTGTTTGTGTAGGAAAGAAGACTGGTGGTGTTTGTCACCCAATGCAGAGTTTGCAAACAAAACCAAATTTTGCTAAACACTTCTGTTTGTGAACCAAGGTGCTTACAAACAAAAGCACCAGGGCACTAGCTACTACTGTATTTGATTACAAAAGGACTAATACACATATAAATTAATGGTTTAAACACAATTGTAACCTGCTTTGTAAGTGGCAATCTGACTAACAATTTAAACGGCCTGCAGAAAGTTGGGTAAGTAAGCAGAGGAGGAGCCTAGGTGATCTTATCTGATGAAAAATTCTTAGTTTTGGTTGAAATGTATATTCATGAATCTTGCTTTGGGTAATATTGCTAAGGAGAGAAATTAAAAATGGAAGGTGAACTAATGGACTAAGACTGCTCAGGAAATAGTCTAAGAAGAAATTCTTTTTTTTTGAGAGAAGGTCTGGCTATGTAGTTCAGTTGGCTTTGAACTCACAGTGATCCTCTGCCTCAGCCTTTTAAGTGCTGGAACTACAGGTATGTGCCGCCCTGCCCAGTTAAGAAGAAATTGTTATGACAAGGTTCATAATGATGAGCTGTCCTTTCACAACAAAATCATTACAATGGTTCCTTAAAAATGAAAGGCACACACACACACACACACACACACACAAAAACAGAATAAAACAAAACCAAAACTCCCAAAAGGCTCAAATCTGTAGAATGTAGGAGAAAAAAATTTTTAGATTGAAGTCAAAGGGTGTGAGTGTGTCTCTCTCTCTCTCTCACACAGACAAACACACACACACACACACACACACACACACACACAAATTTAAAAAAAGGGAAAAGCTTAACAATCTGTAGAGTAGGCTCTGGTTCCTTACAAACCTTCCAACTAAAAATGAAAAAGTTTCCTAGATAGTGAAAATGTGGATTATACTAATGAGCTGCAGTGGCTTTAGAACTTCCAAGTACAGGCTACTCAGTATGTTATTAAGTCAGAGAACCATTATGACTTAACCTTCTTTCAGAAACTTGACCTCCACTTTAAGTCTCAGATGAAACAAAACTTTGGTCTACTGTTGGATAAGAGAAAGAATACTATGAAGAATAAGAGTATGAATTAATGTCTCCCTGAGTGGCAAATGCTATAGAGAAAACTGGGCGAAATAACTGGGGGATCAAAGTGAAATTCTGACACTATTTAGAGAAGAAAAAGCCTTCATACTTCCTTTACCTTATTGAATTGCAACTGGCTGGTGTAATTTCATTAAAAAAATTATCTTAGAGCATGCAAAAGATAGCAAAATTTGCTCATTGAGTGTTTGTTTCTTCATCTGATGATAAATTACCTGTAACATTTAAATACTGCCAGAAAACTTAGCTATGGAGTTTGATCTGTGCCTCAAAACATCAAATTATAGCTTTTTAAGGAATCTGCTTCCAAACTATGCTGCCTATACCTTGACTTAGAATAGCGTCTTATCCACAGCAGACAAAGCTGTTTCTTTTTTTGTGGGGGTACTGGGGATTGAACTCAGGACCTTCCACTTGCAAGGAAAGCAGAAGAATCACTAAGCTAAATCCCCTGCTCCTAGAAGACGCTAATTCTAAGAGATAATAATTTGAAACATATAACCACAGGTAAATTCTAAGAATTCTTTATGCTTCCAGACAAACATTTCTACCAAATTAAATAAAAATGAGCTAAATTAAAGTTAATGTTACAAAGTATTTCATGATAGCAGAATAAAGAGGAAACTCTCTTACACCAAGATGAATGAAGCCAAGGCAGAAAAGGCCAGTGAACAGGTTTATGTAGTCTGAGTAGACTTAACAGAGCAGGAATAGGAAAGAAGATATAGGATGCTTTGGAAAAGTTGAAGGCAACCTCCTCTATATGTATGAATTCACTTGTATGGTCTTAATAAGACCTCAAAACATTTAAGTCCAAATTAAACAACTGCCTTGCCTGGAAATTTTAATTAGAAGACTTAACTGCCAGAAATCAATTATTTCCAGGACATTCATACTATCTTATAACCTAATTAAGTTGCTTACACAGTACATGTTCTGCATCCCCACAATTACAAAATTGTCCTATGAGTAAAACTAAAGAATAATGAAAATTTTCCAATTCATCAACATGTTTCTATCATAAAAAATTACTCTGATTATGTCCTCACCAGTTGAATATTTAGATGTTCTTGCAGAGAAAAGATTTCCAGCTATTTGTATAAACTGTTTGCTATGTTATACAAACTTTAAATGTTAGAATAAAAGAAAATTAAAAAAGTTGTACTGATATAATCAAATGCTCAAAAGATGGATGACACAGATTAGGGGAATAAGACAGTGTAAAATTTATGTGTAAAGTCTAAACATTTAAAAAAATTAAAAAGATTATTAAGAGTACTTTTGGGAATTCTAACAGAATCTGTCTCTCTCATAGGTCAGATGAAATGAATGGAGAATACCTTGCAGAACTTCAGCCAAATTACCTCAGTTTCTTTTCCTTTTTTTTGAAATTCTAAAAGCAGGTTCTATTTAAAGGGGGAAGAGAGAATGAAAAGAAAACAGAAAAATCTTGATAGAAATATTTTTAAAACATTGTTTTCAGTGGTTCTGCTGCTTGCCTTGCAAGCCTAAGGACCCGAGTTCGATCCCTGGTACCGAGAAAAAAAAAGAAAAGAAAAAAATGATTGTTTTTAAGTTAAAAAGTTGAAGTTTACTATGAAAAGTGACTTACAGTACTCGACAAGCTTTTGTAGGGGTTTTTTGGTGTTTTTCATAGCTGTGTTTAGCAATCATTAGGAAGTTTTTTTTTAAGTTTTGTGTTCATTATCAAAAAAGACCCCATGTGGCCAGGGATTTAGCTCAGTGGTTTCGCTGCCTGCCTCACAGGCACAAGGACCAAAGTTCGATCCCAAGTACCAAAAACAAAAAAAACATTAAAACAAAAAACCCGTGATACACTAATAGAATTAAAAGGGAAATCTTAGGTTTCAGTAAGCCATAAGTATTTTTAGATCATCAGAATGTATTTAAAGTTAATTTGGTAAAGAATACTTAATCACCTTTATGAAAATATCAATTTGACAATTCATAAAAGTAAGGTTTTTCTCCCCCCTAATTTCAGTTACATGTCAGGCACTGTGTAGGTGCTTTTTAACAGTTTCTCTTTGCTCAGTATAAGAGCATCTAAAAAATTAAGAAAAACCTTTCAAGATAATTTCTTCGAAATGTCAGGGCCATTCATGCATATACAGAACTGGTCAAATGGATGTGTGTACATTTATACGTATATACACAAACACAACTTATCAAAACGAATGGTCCATACCATCCTTCAAACAGAGGTAGTAAAAATTCTATGTACATTACAGGAACAGTGCTCACTTAACCCAAGCACCTGTCTAAATGTACCAGCAATCTACACTTTGCTGTTAAAAAAATACAGCTGAATACAACTTCTGCAATTCTGATCAGTTTGAGAACTATCTTTTCCATTATTAAAAATACCAGGCACTGTTTTTCTGTGATTAGGTTTCAGTAGCTTAAATCTCCAAACACTAGAATTCCTCACACAGTTGTTAACTGTGGACCACGGGACTGACTCACATCTGCTTCTTGCTTATTTCATTAATGGTACACTTCCAGGTCCTCAAAGAATTTCAGCCTTTCTCCAAAGATAATGTAGGACCCATCTATGTCTGCCTTCTGCATAGCTGGCTAGTTCTGGTTTGTTACTCTCCATACAATGCAAATCTGAGTGAACTCACATCTGTCATAGATTGACCCAATTCGTGGGCAATCTTTTCCCAGCGACCTGGGGTCCCTCCTGGGAATTTAACCATACTTCTTGTCAGCTGGCTAAGGTCTTCTTCTGTCCATTCAGGTGCCTTATTTTCCTTTAATTAGGAAGAAAGAAAAGGAAAAAGAAGAAAAGGTAAGAAGAGAGATAGAAAGAGGAAGGACAGGAGAGGGAGGAAGACAGAGAGAGAGAGAGAGAGAGAGAGAGAGAGAGAGAGAGAGACAGAGAGACAGAGAGAGAGAGAGAGAGAGAGAGAGAGAGAGGGAGGGAGGGAGGGAGGGGGGGGGGGGGTGGGGAGGGAGGTGCAGATTTGCACGGCTGGCCTCAGCAGGAGGCGCGGAAATGCAAGCCGAGCTCGCTGCGGAGAAAGCCCCCGGGGCCTGGCACCCCCCAGAACGACCCCCACCTCAGTCCAAGCCCCTTTACCCAGGGCTCTTCTTTCTTTATCCACTGGATCCCATTACCTGCGTTGGCGACCCA